TTCACCGTGGATGCTCTAGAGTACGTCTTCCCCGTCACGAGGCGTGTGCACCTCCTTCATAACTTCCCCGACATCCTTGCGCGGCGAGGCCAGCTACGTTTCTTGAAGAGAACCTTCTTGAAGAATGCATTGGCCAGGGCGTATAGGGTCCGAGTGGGGTATGGGGCTTAAGGTATAAAGCGCGAATCCTACGTCAATACCCACAAAAAGCTTTGTAAGATTATGTCTGGAGTGGGTGAGCTCTGCCAGGGCATCGATCGCCCACAGCATCCCATGCGAAGAACATCTGGCTAGCGGGGCTCTCCGGTGCTTTGGTGACACTCGTGCGGAGAGAAGACGCCAGAACTGGTAGTTGTCTGTATTGTCTATCATGCTCCACGTGCATTCTGTCGTAGTGAACCGACAGCCCCCAGGACGTGGTTCCCCGTGCTGCTGGAGCTGATTGTGCTCATGGTGGACCGGGCATTTCATGGCCGTTTGAGTACGATGATGCCACCTTGGACCTTTCTGGCCGTTGGGGTGTACTTCGGCTTGGGGATGTTGCTGGTGGTCTTTGTGAACCTCTACGGTATGGCATTGACCCTGGACCTCCAGCCCATCTCACAGGAAACCGGCCTCGTGTATGTGATGGTGCAGAAAGACGTCCCTTGTGGTCCATACAATAGCAACTGGCAGCTCGGCTCTGTTGCGATGGCACTGGGGCAGCATGTACTGTAGCTCTAGACTCCTCTAGACTTGGAGCACTTACCAGGTGCAAACATTCACGGGGCAGACCATGGGCCTTTTGATCTTTTTGATCGAAACCCCTGCACACCATCCCCGAACCATGCTCTTACCAAGCAAAGACACTCCCAAGACTTATAGCCTCACAGCTCGACAGGTTTTTTAATAGGTTTGAGGATGTACCTGTGTGTATTGCCAGGTTTGTGTACCTCGTTCACACGTACCTCTACGTCGCCGGCTTCTTGCTGTTCCAGGCGCTGCTGCTGGGATGATGCCAAAGTTTGGCACAGAGGCGCCGAGATGCGTTGAACACATATAAACCTACAGCATGTTTTCAAATTTGTTTCTCCCTCCTTGTCCCAAGGGATCTGAACGACGTTCTCAAAGGTACGCGGCTCGCATCCAACACAACAACACAATAGGGGACGGAAGAGGCATCGAGCAGGAGGGGAAGCGGCCAAGATGATGGAGGTGGAGACAGCACGGGTATGAGCTTGTGCACGCTGCACAGTACCTGTACAGATGCGCAGTGTCGCACCCAAACGATCCGAGAGCAGGTTGAAGGCCGGATGAGCCACCCAATTGCCAGCTTTTGCCAAGCAAGACCATGACCCACGTCGACCTTCGCAATTTTGCGAGGAGTGCGACACAAAACCGCGGTCCAATTCGACAGGAGGGTTGGCGAAGTCCACCTTGATGGTTCGTGTGACCACCCTCCTCCACCGCTATAGCAGCTAAACCTGGCAATCGTGTCAATGCTGTGTCATGAGCCGACTGCATCCTCTGCGTAGCAGAGCATGCAGCTAGCAGCAGATGTCGGCAGTGCAGACCGGAAAATTGATGAGCATCGTCGTTTCGGTTGGCTTGGTTAAACTGTTAAACTCACTCATGGCTCTGCCTAGGTGGCCAAGATCGCCATCAGCACTCGCTCCAGAGCCCGTGGCCTAGCATGATACGCCACATATTTCAGGGGAGAGATAGGGCCTTGGCATGACCGTCGCGGGATCCACAGGAATAGCTCTTCGATGCGCTCATTTTGCATACGCTGTGGACGATGCTTTTGTTTTGCTTGCCCAGCTGTGCAGAGTGCTCATGCCTCTGCTTGTTCAATCGCTTACTTTGCTTTCCTGAGGCTTGTGCGCCTCCTGCCAGGTGCCAGTGCGAGTCTGCTGCTACTGTTGCTGCTACTACTACTACTACTACTACTACTACTACTACTCCTCCTCCTCCTCCTCCTCCTCCTCCTCCTCCTCCTCCTCCTCCTGCTGCTGCTGCTGCTGCTGCTGCTGCTAAGTCTCTGATTCGTACCAGTACGAGCAGTAACCATGGACATGACTTTTATTGGCTACGCCAGCTACGCCTTACGTGCGAAACTGACCAAACCTAAGCCCCAAGCCTCGCAGCCGAGGCCTCCAAGTTCGGGCCTGGAGCTGAAAGCGGGCACGCCATTGACATTTGACGTGACACACAGCCCGATCATTTGCTTGGATTTCTGCTTCGTCGTCGTAGTCGTAGTCGTAGTCGTAGTCGTAGTCGTAGTCGTAGTCGTAGTCGTAGTCGTAGTCGTAGTCGTAGTCGTAGTAGTAGTAGTAGTAGTAGTAGTAGTAGTAGTAGTAGTAGTAGTAGTAGTAGTAGTAGTAGTAGTAGTAGTAGTAGTAGTACAGGCAGTGGTGAAAGTCGTACCCATTTTTTGTGTATGCTATCAATCACTCGGGGAAAGCTTTCTGAAAAGTCGTGCCCGCTTCCCTAAACGCCTAGGAAGTGCAAGGTTTTTCATGCAAACCGAACCATTGCTGGTTTAACATCTTGGAAACATCCAAACGCCAAGCAAGTGCAGTGTTTGGGCGTTGTCACTGAGGACGTAGTTTGAAGCATATCTTTGTTGCGCTTACATGGTGAACTGTTTCGCCCTTGGCACAGCAACTTGTTTGAATCCTTCATGCCACATCGATTTTGATCGGCATGTGGCTTCAAATCGAGCCCGAAGGTATCGTTCAACCCCATTTACACATCCAGGACAGGGTATCGTTCAACCAGACGCAAAAATATGTTTGCTCGGGCGTTTTTCAGGGGGGTCACAGGCGGGGGTCCAAGATCCATTTGGTACCCTTTCAACAAACCCCCTGACCCCCTTAAAACCCTCACCCCCTCAACAACATCCTAAACCTCTTCAAGCCTCCCTAGAACTCACCAAAACGTTGTTTTTTCATTGGCGTGAAGGCCTCGTCGAGCAGGCCCCAAACTTCTAAGCTCAATATATACATCTTTGGCGTAAGCGCTTACTTGGGGGAAGGGGCCTCGGGCATGACTTGTTGTGACTTCTGGAATCAAGCGCTTACTTGGGGAAAGGCCTCCCGGGCATGACCAAGGCATGACTTAGTCAGGTCCCTGTAGTAGTAGTAGTAGTAGCAGTAGTAGTAGTAGTAGTAGTAGCAGTAGTAGTAGTAGTAGCAGTAGAAGAAGTAGTAGGGTAGCGGTAACGGCAGTAGTAGCATCGTCAAGAGCCGACAGATCCAATCAACTAGTGCAGTAGCTCTCCAACGATGCAAAAATGCTGTGGTGACCAGGGCCTGTGATGGCGGTAGCGCTGGACGCCGGCAATGGTGAGGAGCCCTGTTGCACCTTTTTTTTGTCTTTGTCTTGCCGCAGATGCAGGAAGCCTCAGTAGCACGCTCGACTTACATTTTGCTTAATGCAGTAACCTTATGTACTGAGTTTCGGTCACCTCGTGGAGGACAGCTGTTCACTGTAACAACCCTGCCACTTTTGATGTCAAAGGCTCATGGAGGTGCGGAAGTGGTTTTCCTAATTGTGCAGCAGCTTCAAACACGTTGAATTGCGACAGGTTTTTTCCATCTTCTCAAACTGTAACAGCTCCAACAGTCCCAAGTCCAGGAGTAATACTTTAACTGCTATGGAGGTCGCAGCAAAGCAATGGGGGAGCCTCCCTCCAAGCGACCTCGCGTGCTTGCCGACCTGCTGAAGAGTCCAGATCCAGATTCAAATCGCCTGTTGAAGACTGGCCGCCAGAATGACAAGAATGGCTTGCCAGTCACTAGTGTCGCCAGTCTGGGCGATTCGCGGCCGAGGGAAGCACAAGAGACGAATTTGGAAGACGCCGTTATTGGTTGGCAAGCTGGTGACGAGGATCCGACACCAATCTTCCTTGTAAAGAAAGGTAAAAAGGAACTGTCCAAAGGAGAAGTATATGATACACAGAGCGAGGAGATCGGGAAAAAGTACCAGTACTCGCCAATCGCCAAAGCACATCGCCAAAGGTTTAATTGGGTCGCTCAGTCGGATGGTGACAAGTTCACTAGGGATGCCAGCAAGATGAAACCAGCCAAACGAACGGATGGGATGAGCGGCAGGTGGACATGTGACGTCTGCGGCAAGAGTAATTGCGGCAGCCTGTTCGTGTTCCGGGCTTTCCTCCGACAAGAGCACCTCCCAAGAAGCAGTCACAGAGGATCTCGGCGGCTGGATCCATTCGTGGCCTACATCTCCCAGCGATGTGGCCAAGGCCTCCTTGGCCAGCTGGCGGAGTACACTCGTGTCCAAGAAGAAATTTTTAGCCTTGCCACCCTCGACATCGAGATTGCACGAAATCACCTTGAAGAGTCCATGTGCTTCGTCTGCAGCTCATCATTTTCTATTCCATACTCGTTCGTCTGCGTGGTACTGCTTACATGACTTGTTGTTTAGAGTCGTTTTCCCCAAGAAGATTATGCGCCGTCCCGGCCTCCCGTCTTCCTGTCGCATTGCAGCGCGGTGTGTCGGGTCAGACATAGCGTAGTTTGGGCCTTCAAGCCCGGCAACTATGAGCTGCTCAAAATGACCCCTAAAAAACATAGACCCGGGCATTGCACCGGCCAGCAGGCACGAAGACACCGTGACGGTGAGCGAGTAGTGGATCCATACGAAAAGCTTAGACTGCCGTCACTGTGTGGCTGCATGAGTTGGGTAACTGGGTGTTTGCTGCAGAGGCTCTCCCGCGTCCCCTAAAAAGGCTTAAAACAACGCACAGCCTAGTTCGAGCATCCAGCTGTGGATTCGGCCACCCCACCGAAGCACCACTGCCAAGCAGTCAAGCCCATGATTTGAAAAAGTGGAACGCAGCAACACGCAACACGACAGATGACCTCAACAGAGAAATTCAGGCGTCAACATGCACTGACCGCCGCAGCCATCATGGTCCCAGACACTCCCCTGCACCATTTCTGCCCAGCGCATTTGCGCAGCCGCGCTCCCAATCCAGAGGTCAGTCGTTTCAAGTCACCACATACACCCTGTGGACACCGGGCCTCGCCAGCTTGCACGACGTCAGTACTGCAACATGATTGAAGCCAAGAATAGTTCTCGTCACAATGCTTCCGACCGGCTTGCGTCGCCATGCTAAATCAAAGTCAAAGGAGTTGTGCACAGATCGGCATACCCTCTCACTTTGTCAGCCTGTTGCAGCAAAGCAAACAGCAGTTGTTTCCCACGGTCTATCCATCCTGAGCTGTGACCTTGACAAGAATTATGCCATCATTTGTGACTATCATCTGTCTTATCGCACCCCAGTAAAAACATCGATAGTGTCTTGCCACTGGCGCATGTCACCTGGACCCTGAACTCCTAAAAACCTGCTTCTCGCATCAAAACGAAACAGAACCCTTTCAGTACAAATACAGAAGCAGAGTGCCGAGCACTGTCTCCAAAATAGTCTTCATTGTCATTGTCATTCCTCCACTTGCAGGTGCAGCTCCGCTTTCGACACCCTCTTATCATTTGGCCATATCTGGCAACAGCTCATCAAATACGGTCTCCACAATTCAGCCGCACCATGATGGTTTTCCAGGCTGCGTTCCGCATCGGATATCACGCACATCCATGCGTGCATGTTGACCCATGCCTCCCTTCCCAACGGGGTCAGACATAAGCCCTTGACAGTTCATAACAACCCTCAGCACACTTGGTTATAGGGCATTATTGGGGCAGCATAATTGGGTTGAAGCCTGCAACAAGTGTATCAGTGACTGTTACTTTAGCCAAGGCGCCAGAGCAGCCGCGAGAACCAGCAATTCCTGATCGGCGAACTGTCCCGCGTGGCTGGGGTCGGCGCCTCTGCTCCAAAGACAGTGGAGATGCTGGGATTGATGTTGGAGCGAGTGTTAAAGTTCTATGGGCCCGATAATCCTCTTCATCACCCTCTACATATGTATGTGTGTATATAGATTTATAGAGTTTTTTCCTATACTTGCATAGAAATGTTTAACTTTTCCCCGAGGGCCCACCCGACTTCCGCCCTGCAGGATGGATTCCGTGGAGCGCATGATGGGAGGCCGAGGAGGCCGGGTGCCCCTCCTGCGGAGCCCCGAGGACGTCTTCCGCGCCATGGCCCGGAGTTTGGGGCCGCGGGTGAATGCGCGGCTCCTGGCAGCTGCCGCTGTCTCAGCCTCAGGGGCCTCCGGAGCAGACTTCAAGGCTTTAGAGGGCTACCTTGGTGAAGCAGCTGAAAGCCTGCGGGCTGGTGGTCCCTTGCCAAGGGTTCCTGCGAAATGGCCTCTGTCGGAAGTGGTTGCTTGCGTTGAAGCCATCCTCCGAGCCGCCAACAGGACGGAACCACCCTACCTGCGAGTGGAATTGGCATGTTCCGGACACTCCGAGGTGAAGGTCTATGGTCCAAGCGAAGAGAACAAAATGAACAAAGCCATGACCATACGGCTGGGCTTCCTGCACTCCAAAGGGTCCTTGCATGCCTTCGCGCCCTCCAAGCCCCCAAAAGAAGAAGCGTTGCTCTTGCAGCAGCGCTTGGAGCAGGTTGCTGGGAACCCGGCACGTGTAGACGGAGCACCCGGAGCACCCGGAGCACCCGCAGCTCCCCAGCCCAGCGGCTCTCGTCCACGACATGCCGGTCGAGCTGAGAGTCTTGGCCCAGGTTGGCACAGCTGCGACTGGGCCAAGCAGCTCAAACGTTTGCTCGCTGCTGACTTCGATTTTTCCAAGCGACCTCTGCACCTTGCCACGGGCTGTTCAGGTGCCGAGGCACCGCACTTTGCACTGTGCCAGCTCGTTGGTCTCGAAGGCTTCGAACAACTTTTTGGTGCTGAGATCAACGACAACCCCCGACGATTCATGCTTAACAACTGCAGGTCTCAGCACACGTTCTATGACGTGCGAGATGTTACGAAAGGTTCGGGGATGTGTGCTCGTCATGGGTGCACATGTGATGTGCCACATGGGGAAATTGACATCTTCGTCGGTGGATTTCCCTGCACTCCCTTTTCCTTCTGCAACCCCAAGCGCTTTAAGCGCAACTGCTTCTCGGAGCCAGCAGCGGTGCCATTTTTCGAGATGCGGAAGTTTATTGCTGCTAGGCGGCCAAGGCTTGTGATTCTGGAGAATGTCAGAGGACTCCTGGCTCCAAACCCTGAGACAGAGGAGCGTCCTATTGACTTCATCCTGCGTGGCCGAAACCCTGAAGACTCAGCTCAGTGCTACCCGGGCACGCGCCCCAAAGACGACTGGGGCCTTGAGCTCATCAAAGGCTACGGGCTCCGCTGGGATATTTTGTACTCCTCAGATTGGGGCTTGCCACAGAAGCGCCCCCGGATTCTCGGCTTGGTTTCCAAAGCTTTAGATGGTATGGACCTTAGTCTGTAATTGCAAGATAGATTCATAGATGTAGTATAAAGGCCATACGTACCAATGGGAATTTGTCATCTTCCCAGTTCCTCCCCCCCCCTTCATATTTCCAAAAGTCCGTCCCAGGGTCTACATTGTCATGGTGCGCGATGATGTGGGTGGCCAAGAAGCTGCCGATCGCATCTTTGAAGTGCTCCGGACATGCGCAGGGCACTTGCCACCAGGTTCTTGCAACGATTTCCTGTATCCCGATGGACATCCCAGACTGGAGTCCGTGAAGCGTGCCGAAACTGCGAAAACAAGAGGTTCCCGCAAAGTCTGCACAAAATTCACGGAAGCGCTGTTCCGCACGACACGGCAGGACTTTGGCCTTGGAGCTTCTGACCGTCCGTACTCCAAGGAACGCCCTAGTGACTGGTTTCCACGGGCCACAGAGAAGATGGTGCAACAGCTGGACATCATCTATGAAAGAGCTCAGCACCAGGGCCTGGATTTAAGCTTCTTGTTGGCCGATCTTAGCCAGCAGGTGTCGCGTGGAGCTTGGAGGGATGATGGTTACGTCCCAACGCTGACCACTGCGAGCTTACTCTACAGCTACAGTCACCATCGGGCTCTTCTGGGCGAGGAGTGCCTGAAGCTGAATGGCTTCCCCGTGGATGAGCTCAACTTGGACGCTCACACGCAGCAGGACCTGCGCGCGCTTGCACATGTGAGGGCACTGGGCACATCACGTATGCGCGTGGGCGTGCGCACGAATGGGCGGGAGGGTGAGCCTGCAGGCTTGCAGGCCCGCGGGAGAGCGCATGCTGTTGCGTGCGCGGGCGAGTCTTCTGTTGATTCATGCACCTGTCGTTAACTCCATCCCCGGAATCATGTGACCTGAATACAACTGCACTGCTTGCAAATCCTGCTCCTATGTGCATATATATATATATATACATAAACATAGACATATACATATACATATATATATAGAGATACATATAGAGAGAGAGAAATGTAAAGAGAGGTTGGGATGTGTTCGCCAAACAGCTCAAAACTGAAACAGACTTGTGCTGCGACCTGCACTCACGGCATTCTCGGTGCAGCAAGCGCATTGACTTGGCTCCTGTCGTTGGAGTCATATAGTTCCTGTGATTGCAGTACCCCCTGATTGCGCGAGAAGCACTTGAAGATTTGATTCCCAGACTCTTTCCAGGAGCTCATTTTCTTGGCCGGCAATGCAATGTCGGTGCCGGTGATTGGCGCCGTCATTTTTGCAGGATTGGTGTCGGTCACATGGGGCGACAACAGAAGGGCAGCGAGAGCGGCGACGCTGCCGTGTGCTTTGGAGCAGGGCAAAGCACAGAGAAAGAACTTGGATGTGGGGAAACTTCCAGCCCCACCGTTTCCCACGTTTCCCACGTTTCCCACGTCGACGTTGGTGGATGACGACGGGCATTCGGAGAGCGCAGAGTCCGAGGAGTCCAAGCTGGCACGTCGGGCCGCCGTTCTCCTGCTCATGGCCAAGGAGTTCACGCAACAACCGAAGATCAATCGACAAGACCGAAAGCGGGGAAGAAGCACAAAGTCAGGGCTCGCGGCGGCAATGGAGGCTTCGGCGAACGAAAGCAGCGAGGAGGAGGAGGAGCACGTCTTTTGGGCTGCGCTAAGAAGGTTGGAACCCTTGATTTTACCGTCTACTTTCCCCAAATGGCAGGAATATTGGGAGTGATTAGGACACGGGCTGCGTGAGGCTGTGAACGTGCCTAAGCGGATGATTGTCGTCTCCCTTCAATTTTTCATCTGTCGCTTTGGTCTTCTCCTTTGTCTCCGATTCGTGGGACGAGCCTCTGGTGTTATCTCCATTCCTGCCTCCTTGTCTGTTACTGTTAGAGAACCAAAGCCGATTTGCGTCCTGCAGGTCGGAGCCTGCCTCTATGATTGCGTAAATTTGTACATAATTCACGGTTCCGCGGTTCTCTGACGACTGTTTGGGGTCGAAGCCCCGTCCACGTATTTCAGGTCGAGGCCGATGCTGACTGGGATTGGAGATGCAAGAAACTCCCGGTGGCAAAGGATCGTGATCTGTGTGCCTGGCTTCTAGGATTAGTTTGAGCATATTTCTCTCTAAGTATACATATCAGGCATTTGTCGTCGTAGTTTGAACTCCAGGGGCTGTTTTTCAGCTTTCGAACGTCCGTAGCCAAATCCTAGGCTTGGAGAGGCCACGCAGCTGTTGGCGCGCGAAGCGAACGTGGATGTGCAAGGGTTCGTGGTTAGATCCTTGCGGGGGCTGCAGGCAAAGCCGGACACAGCAATCACACAGCTGGCGCAGCAAGGGCTCCGCATCACCGTCGACCAGCTCCGCAAGCTGGGCTATGCAGAGGCTAAGCAGATCTGGGGCCGTCTCTTGGTGTCCGAGATGTTGGGGGCTTTGGAAAACGAGGACTTTGAGGAGAGTGGCTTAGGGGATTGGTGGCTGCTCCGGGCGAAGGAGCTCGAGGACTCGGAGCATTCGGAGCAGAGGGCCCGGCTCCTGGAGAAGCTGACAAAGAAACCTCACATGCTCTCGAGGCTCCTGGCACCACTGCCCCTCTTCGTCGCAAAGAACAAACAGAGGGGGTTTTCGGGGTTTTCGGAGCCATGTCATGTACAATCTGTACATGTAGTCGTTAGGGGCACGGGCTTTTTGACGTGTGTGGTTTTGTTTTTTTGTCTGAAAGGTGCTGTAGTTGTGAAGCAGTTGCCAAGGCTCGTCAAGTGGAGCAGCGCGAAAGGAGGATGCCGAAGCCGACGTGAACTCCAAGGGCTGAAGCAAGCCATCGAAGCTTTCCTTTGCGCGGATGTGAGCCTGGCAGCCGCTTCGAAACTCAGCAAGGCTTGCCTGGATATGGCCAAAGCGTGTGAGAGACAAAGCCAGCCCGAATCCTCACAAGCTTTTCGCAGTTGGGCCTTCAAGCTGCAAGATGCGGCTTTCACACGTCGCTTTGAGACAATACTGACAAGCGCGTTGCGGGAGTCTGAGTTTGAGCAGTTGGAGCAGACCTGCAGCGAAAACAAGGACTGGGCCCTCCTACGAACAGGAGCCGCCTGGCAGGTCTTCCGGCACCTGCAACGGCTTCAAAATGCCAACGAAGAGACCGTGGCGAACCTTGCTACAAACTTGACAGCGTTAAGGCCAGGCTCGCTAGCAACAGCTTTGGACAGGTTTCTGCGGCATAGCTATCCTTCGATGGCAGTCCGCGTGCATTTCGTGGAAGCCAGGACCGCGACGCCATCGTCCGTCAAACGAGATGCAGTCACTTCCGTCAATCAGCACTCTGCGAGGCTCTTTGAATCCGAGCTGAATCTCCTGCGTCGCATTGAGAACAATGTGACCCCATACTTGGATCAAACTTTGCAGTGGGCGCCTGTTTCGCAAGAGTGGAAGCAGGAGCTGGAGAGAAGAATTTCGGATTGGAGCAACTGCCTCAACGCGGTCATGACGAGTTCGGCGGCAGACATGCAACACCTCGCACAGGTTCACAGTCGGCTACTACAGCAGGCCGAGGGCGTCTTGCAAAGAGCTTGCGAGAAGCATGCTCTCATGCAAGATGTTGCTGGCAGACTACTTCTCTTCGAGCACGCCTTGGTTGCCCATCAGTGCCAGGATGCGTTGCGGAACACCGATGTTGTCGAGTCTGCTGTGAACTTGTTTATGGCCTGCTCTTCGCAACTCGAGCTTCAGCCTTACCTGACCGAGCTGCGGCGCAATGTGGGGCTTCTCCACATTGCCGTTGCTTTGCAAGGACAGGAGGTAGAGGATGCTGCACAGGCAGCAGCTTCTTGTAGTTTGGAGTTGCTGCCGGGATGGGGGAGAGTTGTTTCCCCAAGCGGGCTCAGCATCTTCCAATCTGGCAACGACTGGCGATGGTCCATACCGCTGGTGCTGCCATGTGCCCAGGAGCCCAGCAGCCACTCCACTGGCAGCGCTGCCGAACACAGGCTGTATTAAGAACTTTTTGAACAAACGTTTTTTGTGTTTTTTTCTTGCGGTTCCCTGTTTGACTTCTTTGTTGGGATTTGAAGAATTCGCTTTCGATGCCCGTTTCAGAGGTCGAGCCGTTGGTGTCAGAGCTGCTGGAGACTTTGCAAAACCAGAGCTTCGAAATCTTGGGCTTAGCAGATGTTTGGCTGCCGAAGGCAGGCAAGCTGCTGGGGCCCGAGCGCTCACTTCAGAGGGCCCAGGTGTTGGAAGCACTGGCTGGACACCCGAGGCGCCTCCAAAGGCTCCTAACACCGCTGCCACTTGGCGGGGAAAAGTGTGTAGTTCGGTGCTATTCTGATACTTTTTTTATATTTTAAGGGGCTGCGCCCATGGGCGGGCAGCGCAGGCAGAAGCGCGGGGCGAGCAGTTTCTAACCATTTTGAGGCCCCTAAACTCCCTTAAAATCTCTAAGCGTTAAGTTTCTAAGCATTTTCAGGCCCCTAAACTCCCTTCAAATCTCTAAGCGTTTGAGGCTCCTAGACTCCCTTAACGTTTCTAAGCACTTTATAAGGCCCCTAAACTCCCTTTTTCCTAGCCCCGACCTTAGACACATCGCTTATGCCCGCCCTTTGGGGGGCGTCATGCTCCTGATGCGCCCCCGGGGTCCCGCCCCGGGAGCCGCTGATGCTCCTGATGCGCGCCTGGGGGTCCCGGGCTGGACCCGCTGATGCTCATGATGCGCGACCTCTGGGGGCCTCCGTGGCGACGCAAAAAACCACGAAAAAAAAACCGTTCACCGGCGGCACGCGGGGGTCGGCGGCACTGGCGTCCGGCCTAATTCTGCTTCGCAGAAGGCCAGAGGCCAGCAAGGCTATTCCCGGGACGCCCCGGGCTAAAAGGTCCGCATTTGCTCGGTCCTTTGGGGACCTCGCGCTGCCCGATTTAATGGCTACCGCCAGTGCCGCCGACCCCCTCCAAGGGGGGCCAAGGCACTGTGGGCTCCGGCCGCGGATTACGTATATATATATATATATATATATATATATATAGTCTTTCGCGTGGACAAGACCATGGTGGACAAATGGCCGCGGACTCAGTGGGATACCAACTCCATGTGCGACTATCATCAGCGGCAGTGCGTGCGCCGCATGTAGGGAGCGGCTGTGCGTGCGCCGCGTCAAGTTGTATGGCCTTATAAGTCCTCTAAATGTAGGGTATCAGTACAGTTAACCCAAAATCTTGAACCCCTAAACCCGAAACCCTAAAACCTAAACTTAAACCCCACCTTAGGCCAACTCCGTCGACTTTGTGGACAAGGCCAAGCCCGCGCAGTGGGAGACACCCCAGAGGCCCCCCAGGGGTCCGGGGTTTTTGGGGCTTAGGGTTTTTGGGTAGCTTCCCATTCAAGCAGGATAGCCTTCAGCTGGGGCTTGGGGCTTACTGGGTGCGCGGTCTTGGAACGCGCGTGAACCCGCAGCCCATTTAAAGCCCCAAACCTCACAGTCCTCGAGAGGCCTCGAAACTATGCAGCACAGCCCTAGGCCCTGTAAACCGAGAAAACTCGCGTTCAATGCACTTAGGCGCCCTAGAGCTCGACACACCACACTTGCACAAGCCCTGAGGCTTAAAGCATCCAAGCCTTAAACTTTCCTTAAACCTCGAAAACGCGCAAAGCCTTGGAGCCCGAAAACCCTTTAGGGTTTAGGGTTTAGGGTCTAGGGGTGGCTCAGGACAAGGTTTAGGGTTTAGGCTAGGGTTTAGGGATTAGGGTTTAGGGTTTACGGTTTAAGGTTTAGGGTTTAGGATTTAGGGTTTAGGGTTTGGGGTTTGTGGGCAAGATGACAGACGAGGCCGAGATCGCAGGGAGTTCTTGGGTTATGCGAGGTTCCTGGGAGCGCGTGCTTTGCCCCGTCCAGATTTTGGAAGCGGGGGGGGGGACGGGGGTTCAAGAACAGCGGACTTCCAAGAAGCCAGGCTACACCCCCACTAAAACCCCGAAGCCTAAGCCCGAAACCGTTCATAATACCTACCCGATGCACGCGCGGCCTGTAAAGCCCAAACGCTCAAGCCTCGAAACTCAGAACCCTGAAAACCCTAAACCCTCAATTTCCCTTGACCCTATGTGTGTGAGTGAGCCAGATACCAGTCTTTCGGTCAGCCAATGTAGGTCAAGTGTCGGGGAAGTTGGCAGCCTACGAGGGTTCCGGGTGTTCAGAGTTCATAGTTTGTTTCACTTCTTTTTGCATTGTTCTCGCCATGGACGACGCCCAGTACCTGCCTATTTTGCAAGCCGCCGAGCAGGCATGGGGCGAAAACTGGCACCAAAATCTGGATTACACTTGGGTTTACCAGCAGTTGGGAATGGACAGAGGGCGGAGGATCAACGCGACTGCCCGGCGCTTGCACGACCGCCTCTGGTCCGATTTGAACGCCAAGTTTCCGGCCCCTGCGGAAGAAGAACCGCCTGCAGGAAAGAAGCGGAAGAAGGGCCAGCAGGGCGAAAAGACCGAGGTGAAGGTGCATGAAAAGTTCGCTGCGGTGCCTGCCCACAGACACCTGGGAGGCCGCTATGGCTTGGCTTCGGCTGTGCAGGATAAGAGCATGCAGGAGCCATGGGTCCATGGCCCTGCAGGTCGAGGGATGAAGAATGGGTGCGTGAGGGGTAAGGGGTAGGGAGCTGGGTCCATGAGGGGTAGGTCAAGGGGATGGAGAGTGGGAGCATGGGCCAGAGGAGAGTGGGCGGAGCTGGAAGGGCGGAGGGCGGAGCGGGCGGAGGGCCCGGGCATGCACTGGGGCCCTAATGTGACCAACACCAATGGGGCCATGAGCCATGGGTCCAGTGGGGGGGCGGGGTGCGTGGGTGGTGGGGGTGGGGGTTAGAAGTGTGGAAAGGGTGGGGTGTTGGGGGTGGGGGTTGGGGGTGGGGGTGGAGCCATGACGCCAGGAGCAAGGGCCCATGACAAGCACGGGCGGCGGGGCGGGTGCGGTGCGGGGTGGGGTGGGGTTGCGGTTGGGGGTGGAGAGCTCAAGATATGGAAGAATAGGACCAGGAGCCATGGGTCATGAAAAGCATGGCGGATGCGCGGGGGGCTTGGGCAAGGGGAATGTATGTGGAGCGGGAAGGGCGGTATGGGCGGGTGAGCGGACGTCGCTGGGGAGTGGTGGGGGTAAGGTCGGAGGGGAGCCGTGGGGCGAACCCATTGGGTCATGAGGGGATGGGCGGCGGAGGCAGGTAGGTGCGTGAGGGGTGTGAGGGGTAAGGGTAGGGAGCTGGGTCCATGAGGGTAGGTCAAGGGGTGGACGGAGGCGGAGCGGGAGGAGGCCGGGCATGCACTGGGGACCTTTAAAGTCAGCTGGAAAAGCCAGGGCCAGGGCCATGGGTTCAGTTGGGGGGCGGGGTGCCGTGGGGGGTGGGGGTTAGGGGTTGGAGGTGGAGTGGGTAAGTGTGGGTGGGTGGGGGTGGGGGTTGGGGGTTGGGGGTGGCAGGATGCGTACGGTATGGGGGTGGGGGTTGGGGGTTGGGGTGGAGCAGGGGCCATATATAGGACCAGCGTTGGCAGCCATGCAGGTCGAGGGATGAAGAATGTGACCAACACCAATGGGGCCAGGAGCCATGGGTCCAGTGGGGGGGCGGGGTGCGTGGGTGGTGGGGGTGGGGGTTAGAAGTGTGGAAAGGGGGGTGTTGGGGGTGGGGGTTGGGGGTGGGGGTGGAGCCATGACGCCAGGAGCAAGGGGCCCATGACAAGCACGGGCGGCGGGGCAGGGTGCGTGCGGGGTGGGGGGGGGTTGCGGGTGGGGGTGGAGCAGCTCAAGGGATGAAGAATAGGACGGGCGGAGCGGGCGGAGGGCCCGGGCATGCACTGGGCCCTTTAAAGTCAGCTGAGAAGCCACACCCATGGACCGTGGACCATGAGCCAATGGGGCCAGGAGCCATGGGTTCTGGGCGTGGCAGGGTGCGTACGGTATGGGGGTGGGGGTTGGGGGTTGGGGTGGAGCAGGGGCCATATATAGGACCAGCATTGGCAGCCATGCAGGTCGAGGGATGAGAGTGGGAGCATGGGCCAGAGGGGGGTAGGCGGAGCTGGAAGGGCGGAGGGCGGAGCGGGCGGAGGGCCCGGGCTTGCGCTGGGGCCCTTTAAAGTCAGCTGAGAAGCCACGCCCATGGGCCGTGGACCATGAGCCAATGGGGCCAGGAGCCATGGGTTCAGTGGGGGGCGGGCCCATGACAAGCACAGGCGGCGGGGCAGGGGGTTGGGCGTGGCAGGGTGCGTACGGTATGGGGGTGGTGGGGTGGAGCAGGGGCCATTTTTTTTTGGACCAGCATTGGCAGCCATGCAGGTCGAGGGATGAGAGTGGGAGCATGGGCCAGAGGGGGGTAGGCGGAGCTGGAAGGGCGGAGGGCGGAGCGGGCGGAGGGCCCGGGCTTGCACTGGGGCCCTTGAAAGTCAGCTGAGAAGCCACACCCATGGGCCGTGGACAATGGGGCCAGGAGCCATGGGTTCAGTGGGGGGCGGGCCCATGACAAGCACAGGCGGCGGGGCAGGGTGCGCGCGGGGTGGGGTGGGGGTTGCGGGTGGGGGTGGAGCATGGCGGGGTGCGTGGGGGGCTTGGGCAAGGGGAATGTATGCGGAGCGGGAAGGGCGGATGGGCGGGGAGCGGGTGCGTGGGTGGTGGGGGTAGGGGCGGAGGGGAGACATGGGGCCAGGAGGGGGTGGGGGTTGGGGGTTGGGGGTGGCAGGATGCGTACGGTATGGGGGTGGGGGTTGGGGGTTGGGGTGGAGCAGGGGCCATAGGACCAGCGTTGGCAGCCATGCAGGTCGAGGGATGAAGAATGTGACCAACACCAATGGGGCCAGGAGCCATGGGTCCAGTGGGGGGGCGGGGTGCGTGGGTGGTGGGGGTGGGGGTTAGAAGTGTGGAAAGGGTGGGGTGTTGGGGGTGGGGGTTGGGGGTGGGGGTGGAGCCATGACGCCAGGAGCAAGGGGCCCATGTCAAGCACGGGCGGCGGCGTGCGGGGTGGGGGTGGGAGTTGCGGGTGGGGGTGGAGCAGCTCAAGGGATGAAGAATAGGACCAGGAGCCATGGGTCCATGAAAAGCATGGCGGGGTGCATGGGGGGCTTGGGCAAGGGGGAATGTATGCGGAGCGGGAAGGGCGGATGGGCGGGGAGCGGGTGCGTGGGTGGTGGGGGTAAGGGCGGAGGGGAGCCGTGGGGCCAGAACCCATGGGTCCATGAGGGGCATGGGCGGCGGGGCAGGGTGCGTGAGGGGTGTGAGGGGTAAGGGGTAGGGAGCTGGGGTAGGTCAAGGGGATGGAGAGTGGGAGCATGGGCCAGAGGAGAGTGGGCGGAGCTGGAAGGGCGGAGGGCGGAGCGGGCGGAGGGCCCGGGCATGCACTGGGGCCCTTTAAAGTCAGCTGAAAAGCCACGGGCCAGGAGCCATGGGTTCAGTGGGGGGCGGGGTGCGTGGGGGGTGGGGGTAGGGGTTGGAAGTGTGGGTGGGTGGGGGTGGGGGTTGGGGGTTGGGGGTGGCAGGATGCGTACGGTATGGGGGTGGGGGTTGGGGGTTGGGGGGGGGCAGGGGCCATGATCGGACCAGCGTTGGCAGCCATGCAGGTGGAGGGATGAAGAATGTGACCAACACCAATGGGGCCAGGAGCCATGGGTCCGGTGGGGGGGCGGGGTGCGTGGGTGGTGGGAGTGGGGGTTGGAAGTGTGGAAAGGGTGGGGTGTTGGGGGTGGGGGTTTAGGGTGGGGGTGGAGCCATGACGCCAGGAGCAAGGGGCCAGACAAGCAGGGCGGGGAGCGGGTGCGTGGGTGGTGGGGGTAAGGGCGGAGGGGAGCCGTGGGGCCAGAACCCATGGGTCCATGAGGGGCATGGGCGGCGGGGCTAGGGAGCTGGGTCCATGAGGGGTAGGTCAAGGGGATGGAGAGTGGGAGCATGGGCCAGAGGAGAGTGGGCGGAGCTGGAAGGGCGGAGGGCGGAGCGGGCGGAGGGCCGGGCATGCACTGGGGCCCTTTAAAGTCAGCTGAAAAGGAGCCATGGGTTCAGTGGGGGGGCGGGGTGCGTGGGGGGTGGGGGTAGGGGTTGGAAGTGTGGGTGGGTGGGGGTGGGGGTTGGGGGTTGGGGGTGGCAGGATGCGTACGGTATGGGGGTGGGGGTTGGGGGTTGGGGTGGAGCAGGGGCCATAATAGGACCAGCGTTGGCAGCCATGCAGGTCGAGGGATGAAGAATGTGACCAACACCAATGGGGCCAGGAGCCATGGGTCCAGTGGGGGGGCGGGGTGCGTGGGTGGTGGGGGTGGGGGTTGGAAGTGTGGAAAGGGTGGGGTGTTGGGGGTGGGGGTTGGGGGTGGGGGTGGAGCCATGACGCCAGGAGCAAGGGGCCCATGACAAGCACGGGCGGCGGGGCAGGGTGCGTGCGGGGTGGGGGTGGGGGTTGCGGGTGGGGGTGGAGCAGCTCAAGGGATGAAGAATCGGACCAGGAGCCATGGGTCCATGAAAAGCATGGCGGGGTGCGTGGGGGGCTTGGGCAAGGGGAATGTATGCGGAGCGGGAAGGGCGGATGGGCGGGGAGCGGGTGCGTGGGTGGTGGAGGTAAGGGCGGAGGGGAGCCGTGGGGCCAGAACCCATGGGTCCATGAGGGGCATGGGCGGCGGGGCAGGGTGCGTGAGGGGTAAGGGGTAGGGAGCTGGGTCCATGAGGGGTAGGTCAAGGGGATGGAGAGTGGGAGCATGGGCCAGAGCTTTGGATGGGGTGTGGTGTCTTCGGTTTTTTTTGAAGCCACAGGCTCTGCGAGGCTAAGCAATGGTCAACAGGTAGAGCCGGGGTCTTTCCGCAGATGGCCCGGACTGCAAAGAAGGCAGTGACTTACTCTCCAGCTCTCAGCTCATCTCATTTCTCATTCCTCTCATTAGCCTCTCATTCCTCTCATCTCATTCCTCATCCATTCCCCATTCCTCTCAGTTCTGAGAGGCGGGGCAGTGGAAGGTGAAGGCCAGCGAGGCCAGCGAGGCCAGCGAGGCCGGGGCCGAGGAGGCCCCCTCCGTACGTCTCCTCTCTCTCACTCTCTCTCTCTTTCTCTCTCTGAGAGGAGAAAAAGGGGGGGTTTTGTCAATTTTCTCCTTCTCTCTCCCCCTTCTTCTCCCCCTGTGTTTTTTTTCCTCTCTTTTTTTTGCACCACAAAATGCGCACTCTGAAGGGCCACACATGTCGCGCAGGTGTGGCCTGAGTTTGGACGGCCTCAAGGGCCCAGCGCTCAGAAGGCCTGTCCGCTTCACAGTCCCCACACGTGCGCCCTCCGCAGGCCACGCCAGCGCGTCCACGAGGCAGCCGGGCTCAGCCGGGATGAAAGCACGTATTAGAGTGAGGAAGCCCAGGGTCAATGTGTCGTATGTGCCAGTGTTGAGAGGATCGCTGCACCGGAGTCATCACCGAATGGCCGCTCGGAGAGAGCTTGAGAAGTAAGCTTTGAGCAGAGCGCTGAGCACGTGAAGCAGAACTTTGCTGCAAGGCGGGGCTACATGGGCTGGATCGCGCCGCTTTGCAAGATAAGCCATGACCAGGCATGCCCTGATGTACGGGAATTTCCTGCACAGCCCAGCATCCAGTGCAGGCTTCCAGACACTGGGGCCTCATCTACGTAAGCCAGACTGACGTGGCTGTCTGGTGCTTAAGCTGCGGCTTTCAAAGGCAATCGCCATCGTGGCAGTTGAGGCCCTTCCTGGCGGCGCCCCATGGATGCGGGCGGGACGTATTGTGGACTTTCTGGCCTTTCGGCGCAAAGCCAGAGCACTCAGAGCACTCTCAGCTCTTAAGCTCCCTTCTCTCAGGTTTACTCAGATGGTGATGGCTTGGGTGCCGAGGAGGTGGCGCAAAATTGTCTTTTTTCCTTGGGACTGGAGAGAAGATGTGTGTGTTTCTCTTCAAAAAGATCTCTGAGAAAAGCCTCTTTCTTTTTTTGTTGCGAGAGATAGGAAAATAGGAAAGAAAGAGTGCCCTCCTGTGCTCTCTCAGCTTGTGCTCCCTCAGCTGTGAGGTGCGAGCGCTCTCGCCGCTGCAGCACGCCTAAAACAAGAGAGAATCGAAGCAGAGAGGAATCGAAGAAAAGAGCTCAGAGAGGAGTTTCGAGAGTTTCGGAGTTTCTGAGCTTTCTCAGTGGTATTTCTCCGTGTTGTCTCTCCGTGTTGTCTCTCTTGCCTTCTCTGCCCAGGAGGGTGACGCTCACCCATGCCGAGGAGAGCTGACATTCAGTCTTTTCTCAATTGGCATCTTTTTTGCCTCTTCTTCGTTTCTCCACTGCAGGCCAGGGCCCTGCTCAAGCAGGAGTCGGCTGGCCGCCCGGAGCGGTCTGAGTGCGCCTTCTCCCTCTCTTCTCGTATCAAAGGGTCCCATGATTTCTGCTTGGCTTTCCAGGGGAAAATCTCCATTTGGTGGAGGAAGGAAAGGAACAAGAGGAAGGAAGGGCGCTCGGGGAGGAATGGTTCGAGACCCTGAGACCTGCCTGCGACCTGCCTGAGCTTTGAAGATTCCCAAATCGGTCAATCTCCTCCAACATCGTGAACTCTGAGTCCATGTGGCCGAGTAGATCGTTTTCCTGCATGGTGTAAATCAAGGTGCAGCCTGCACGCACACACGGAGTGCGAAATGGCATGTCTGGATTTTTCGAGGTGTAATGGGATGCTGGGTTGACTAGGCGCAAAAGTTGTAGGGCTACGACACTTAACTACAGGCTACGTGTTGAGTAGGAAAATCTAGATTCTGCTGAAGTCTAATCGGCAGACTTCTACTTCCTCAATGCTTTAAAACATCATGTTTCCTCTGCATGTTAATCAGAAACCAGCGCTTTCAAGCGATGTGCTTTTCTGGCAAAACGCCAACATGTTTCACATGTTGCGCGTTGAAGGGAGATGTGTCCTTTGTTGGATGCAGAAGTATAGTGGAAGGTAACCGGAGCACTGATCAACCTTGTATCGTTCATTTTTTTGGCATGAGTTGGTTTTCAGTTGCACTCCAAGCAAACCGAAGCCCATCGAAATGATCAGTCACTTACTTGTTTGTTCGCAAAGCAATCGCTGCCTTCGTAGCATGTTTGCTTCCGGAGTGGCCTCGGTTTTCTCTCCACAGACGTCGTGGGAGGTACCTCGCGGACTCCGAGCATTACCTGAGCTTGATGAGCGACCTAGGTCAGCATTTCTTTCTGATTGTCAGGTAGATACCATCTTTCGCATCCTTGTGATCAGGTGTTCTTGTCAGGAAATACTCGTGGCCTTTGCCATTTGTGGCCCCTGCTCTGATTGCCCAGTTGGTCTTCTTGTTTACAAGGGAACCCATCGAGCATCATCGAACCGTTTTTCTTTTCAAAGTGCCAGGTCACCTTAGAGCTTTGGGGGCTGGTCGAGGACCGCGGAAAAACTCGCTTTGATAGCGCCTTTCCGCTGTGCCACCGCCAGAGGATGTGGCGGCCGCAGCCCTGCAGTACTGCAGTTCTGCGGGTGTGGCTCCTTAAGCCTCTCTTTGAGATGTAAAAGGTTTGCTTGCGAAGAGCCTTCTCACTTGGTTCGAGGTGGAGCGGAGCACCGGCGTCTGCAGCTCCTGCTGCCCGAGGATCGAATCGCCCAGGCCGAGCCATCATCGAACAGACGCTAGTCAGACCCTTGTAGCAGTTGCGCGCTCATGAACACCAACGCGCTGCGGCCACTGTGACAGCAGCGCCCCTTCGGAACAACATGTTGAGAGAGAGGGAGAGGGAGAGAGAGAGGGGAAGTGTCTCATCCGCCAGACAGAGCGGCGGGCCAGAGCGGCCGGGGGTTCCCTTTTGGGGGGCCTCTTCGCTGGGTAGAAGAAGAAGGAAGGAGAGAGAGAGGCCGAGAAATTGTGCATTAGCAAGTTGCCATAGAGCAATCGAAAGTGTGCATGACTTGTACCCACTGGTTTTTGACATTCGCCGGTGCCAGGTGGAACATTTGCCCTTCGGGAATCCGAAGGTCTCTACGCACACAGTGGTGCAAACGTCCGCATCCCCAGAGAGCACCTGAACAGGTTGGTTCATGTTTGCTCTTGCAACCATTCCCCAAAACCTCCCAAAACCTCCCAAAACCTCCCAAAACCCCCCCCCCCCACCCCCCCGCCCTTTCCCATTTCCACCCCCCTTTTCCCTCCTCCCCTCCCTCTTCACCTCCCTGCATGCTCTCCTCTTCCCCTCATTTCCCGCCGTAAATGCCCTTGCTCGAGTCAAAGGGGATTGTATGCAAAGCACTCAACTGTCAGGTTTAGGGTTTATTAGGGTTTAAACCCTGGCAGCTGCTGCTCACAAAGAATCCAACAGATGCTCAAGCCGGGCCAACCAGCGCGGTTTCAACGGCAGCTCTTCAGTCGAACGTAGGGAGAGGCAATCGCCTCTGGCACTCCAATTTTTGCCTGAGGCGCCTGACCAGCGAAGAAACAAGCAATGCGATTTGTCAATGCCTGCCGCGGCTCTTTTCTGTCACTCTCTGTCTCGTTCTGATTGTCTGCATGTGCAAGAGCGTGAGTGAGTGAGTGAGTGAGTGAGTGAGTGAGTGTGTGTGGTTCTTTGTTTTGAGAGCCAGCAGCCGTGTCAAGTGCGCAGTGCGCTTCGCTTAGGCCGGTGCCCTGCAGAAGAGGGGGCCTCAGAGATCCGAGAGGGGTCTAAGCGAGAGCTCTTTCGGCTCGTTTGCTCGAAATTTCCCCGAAGGGTGGTTCCAATCACCCCAAGACCAAAGTGGGCAAGTTACGGCAAGTTGCATGAGTGAGGATCAGACCGAGGCGGAGGGCTTCGCTTTTTTTGACTTGCCCATTCTCACAGGTTCTGTCAATGAGACATGCGAAGGATATCAACGGGCAATGTATCAATGTGCTTCAGAGCCCTTGGGGCAATGCTTTGGATTGAAATCGCTGTCAGAATCGCTCGTTTTGCACGTACAGACATGTAGCTCAAAAAGACGTTTGTTAGCCCTAAACCCTCGATTGACACAGAGCGCTGTGTAAGTTGCACAAATCACGTTGCCACTTGAAGGCCTCGTCATGGAGTCCTCGCCCGAAGACTGCCGCAAGGCACCGGTTTCTCGGGGGCTATGGGGGGGGGGCACAAAAGGGCACAACAACAGCACGAGAGACCAGAGCTGATTCTTTGCATTTCTCTGTTGTGTAAAGGCCGTGGTGGCATTCTTGCATGCCATGGAAGGGCGGCCCAGGTACGCACTCCTCACCTACCCGGTCCACATTTTTGCTATTTCTGATTCTGCGAGGCCCTTTATGTGAGCAATTGCTGCCACCGCTGAGGCGAGGTGAGGCGCGAGGTGAGCCAAAAAGCACACTCAGTCACTGCGCACAGAAGTTTGAAACTTTTTGTTGGGTCTTGCTTGGAGCTCTCTATAGACTATGTCAGTTTTGGCCCGCTTCAGGTTGGACAGCATGGACATGCATGGACAGCCATACTTTGACATGTGAAATTGACGCGCAAGCTTCATAGAGTTTGCAGGGCAGAAAGGCAGTTGGGATCCGCCATGGCGCTGGTGCACGATGAAATCGGAGCAGCAGCGCCCTGGCTTCTCACAAACCTTCAGCTGAAAGGTGAAGCCACAAAATTGCCTGAGGTGCAGAGACGTGTCTCCAGCCACCCAGTTCGCCCGGGCGCGTCCGATGGCGACACTGGCGACCTTGACCGCAGGTTTCAACTCTTGCGCAGCGTGGGCGAGGAGTGCCGCTTAGCTGCACCCGACCCGGCTGTCTCGTACTTGCACATGACCAAAAAAACTGCTGCCTCGTAGAATAGGTTCAGACATTTGATGCAAGATGCACTCGTGCTCACCCTCGATGGCTTTGTGCAAGATAAGTGATTATAAGAATTCAGAAAGCAGGCCAGACCGAGCCGGAGCTACGGGAGCTGCTTGTGCCGCTCGGAGTAAAGGAGATGAGAACGAAAGAGGAGGTGAGACGAGAGGCAATACCTGGGACTCCTCGTCTCAAGCTGTATTTTGCTTTTTCGTCTGAGGAGAAAAAAGGAGTTCATCCTCTACGATGGCTTCGAACCCTCTGGGCGCATGCACATTGCGCAGGGCCTCTTCAAAGCCATCAACGTGACACGCAACAAGTTTCAGTGGTAGGAGCAGGAGCAGGAGCAGGAGCAGGAGCAGGAGCAGGAGCAGGAGCAGGAGCAGGAGCAGGAGCAGTAGCAGGAGCAACAGGAGGAGCAGCAGGAGCAGGAAGAGCAGCAGTAGCGCCGTAGCAGGAGCAGGAGCAGGAGCAGGAGCAGGAGCAGCAGCAGGAGCAGCAGCAGGAGCAGCAGCAGGAGCAGGAGCAGGAGCTAGCAGTGGTAGGACTAGTTTCCGTGGTAGTCGTCGTCGTCGTCGTCGTCGTAGTAGTAGTAGTAGTAGTAGTAGTAGTAGTAGTAGCAGTAGTAGTAGTAGCAGTAGTAGTAGTAGTAGTAGTAGTAGTAGTAGTAGTAGTAGTAGTAGTAGTAGTAGTAGTAGTAGTACTAGTAGTAGTAGTAGTAGTAGTAGTAGTAGTAGTAGTAGTAGTAGTAGTTGTAGTAGTAGTAGTAGTAGTAGTAGTAGTAGTAGTAGTAGTAGTAGTAGTAGTAGTAGTAGTAGTAGTAGTAGTAGTAGTAGTAGTAGTAGTAGTAGTAGTAGTAGTAGTAGTAGTAGTAGTAGTAGTACTAGTAGTACTAGTAGTACTAGTAGTACTAGTAGTACTAGTAGTACTAGTAGTACTAGTAGTACTAGTAGTACTAGTACTAGTACTAGTACTAGTAGTAGTAGTAGTAGTAGTAGTAGTAGTAGTAGTAGTAGTAGTAGTAGTAGTAGTAGTAGCAGCAGCAGCAGCAGCAGTAGCAGCAGTAGCAGTAGTAGCAGTAGTAGCAGTAGCAGCAGTAGCAGCAGCAGCAGCAGGAGGAGCAGCAGCAGGAGCAGCAGCAGGAGCAGCGGCAGCGGCAGCGGCGGCGGCGGCGGCAGCGGCAGCGGCAGCGGCAGCAGCGGCGGCGGCGGCGGCAGCAGCAGCAGCAGTGGTGGAAGCGGCTGTGCTTGTGAGATAGAGACATGTCCCCTCGCTTCTTGCGTTGTGTAGGTTGCATTTTGCAGCAAGCATCATTGTAGCATGTGATGCAGTGACGTAGCAATTGCATGTCGTTTGCTCTTGCTTTTGTACAGCTTCACGTCAACCCGACTGCAGCTGTGGACACTCAAAGGTTGTAGACCTCGAACGTAGGTCGTAGCTCAAAGCAGTTTGTGTAGCTGAGCTAGTTTCGCCGAAGGCAACACACCCGCCATAGTGCCTGCTAACGTACTGCAGCTGCGCAGCGAGCTCTTGAGTACGATCCAAGCGGGATCGACTGCACTGTGTTCCGGGACTTGCGTGAGGAGCAAGGAAACAATCGGCAGACCGAGTGACTGCGCTGAGCCAAGCTTTACCCAAGTAGCCTGCTTTGGACGTTTCCCCCGGGGTCCACTGGACCTTCTTCTAGTTGGGCAGTTGGGGGCTGTTCTGGGAAGTCACTCCAAGCAGCGACAATGGCGATTCAAGAGGCTACGCGCCGCTGGCCCAAGGCCTCCGAGGCGTCAGACCTCGCCGAGTGATCCTGCCTTCGCTTCAGATGACAAGGTTCGGGTGGCGCTGGAGGCCAGGCACTTCCTGAGGAGCCAGGGCAATACGCGCTATGGCAGTTTTCTTCGGGAGTTGAAGCGCCGTGGTGTCACTGTAACCACTGAGCTTTATCACCGAGTGGAGCCATTCGTGCTTGGTTCAGCTCATGCGCAAGTGGCGTCTGCTTATGGAGCGGTGTTGCCTCCTCCCGTGCCAAACCCGGCAGGCCCCGCTGTGGCCAAGGACGGTGCAAAGAGCCGTGGAAGTCAGTCGGAGTTGACTCGCGAAGGGACTTGAAGATCCCGAGACGGAGCTTCGCTTTTCGAGCTGAAGACCTCGTTTTTGCGAGGAGACGCTAGACGAGTACACTGCGTGCGAATGGCCAGAGCATCCATGCCCGCACGATGAGAAGTCCGTGTTACCACTGCGTGCGAATGGCCAGAGCATCCATGCCCGCGCGATGAGAACGTCCGTGTTACCGTTGCACGCGAATGGCCAGAGCATCCATGCCCGCGCGATGAGAGCGTTCGTGTTACCACTGCGTGCGAATGGCCAGAGCATCCATGCCCGCACGATGAGAACGTCCGTGTTACCACTGCGTGCGAATGGCCAGAGCATCCATGCCCGCGCGATGATTCCGTCCGTGTTACCGCTGCGTGCAAGTGGCCAGAGGATTCATGCCCGCGCGATGAGAACGTCCTTCCTACCACTGCGTGCGAATGGCCAGCGAACATTGGGGCTTGCCATTTCACATGGATGACTTTCATAAACTACTTCATTTTGGTAGTCTCCACTTTTTGGACACTTTTTTGTGGCGTTTCTTTGAAATACCGCCCCTGCCGGTGGTTTCGGCCTGCAGCCTCAGAAAAATGCTTGTTCCGTACCACAGGCAAGAATCACCCGCGCACGTAGTCGTCGTAGTAGTAGTAGTAGTAGTAGTAGTAGTAGTAGTAGTAGTAGTAGTAGTAGTAGTAGTAGTAGTAGTAGTAGTAGTAATAGTAGTAGTAGTAGTAGTAGTGGTAGCGGTCGTGGTAGTGGTATTGGTAGCAGTAGCAGTAGCAGTAGCAGTAGCAGTAGCAGCAGCAGCAGCGGCAGCAGCAATTTTAGCAGTAGCAGCCGTACTACTACGACGACGACGACTACTACTTGTGCTGCTACTACTTCTACTGCTACTGCTACTACTACTACTACTACTGCTACTCCTACTACTACTACTGCTAAGGGCGGTAGTGGCGACCATGACGTGACCAGAGGTCAACAAGTGTACAGAAGCTGGTGGAATTTTCAAGTTCTACGTGGCTGATTGGTTCGGTCTGATGAATGACAAGATGGGTGGCGACTTGAAGAAGATCCAGGCCATTGCTGCTGTTGCTATCAGCCGCTTCATCGGTTGGACCGCATGAGCGATTTTGAGTCCCAGAGTGACAGGACACAGGCCTGTACTTCGTGCACGTCTGGAAATCCTGCGGCATGAAGATGGAGAACGTTCGCTTTATCTGGACCTCTCAGTTCATCGAGGAGAATGCCACTGAGCCGTTTGGCCTCATTGAACAACAACTAGCACATTGAAAGACCCATCAAAACCCCTTATTCATCAGATCGCAATTGACAAAATAAACCCGCAGGTACTGGACAAAGATGTTGGACATTAGCCGGGTGACATCTCTGGTCCGTGTCAAGAGGCCCTCTTGGACCGTCGACACATTATGACATGCAATCGCTGTTCTTGATTTCAAGTACTGCCTCTGCCAAGCGAGATGCCTGACAGCTAGAAGAGAAGATCCCTGCAAAAAGAATTTGAACATGTCTCCAGACTGCGTTTGCGTGAGGTGTTGCACCATCATGGGTCGTGAGGAGGGAAACCTCACGGCAGCACAGATCTTGTATCCGCTGATGCAGTGCACAGACTCTCGGAGATGTTGCGTCTTCATATCTGCAACTCTCTTCAGCTTCATGGCTATTATGTCTGGGAAAGTCCGAAGCTCCGAGGACATTTTCCTGCTCCGTGCCGACATCTGTCAGCTGGGCTTGGACCAGCGGAAGGCGGAACACTCTTTGTGTCTTCCACTCCTGTAGTCTACAGCAAGCTGTGAAGCTGAGATTGCAATTGGTTTTTACAAGGCAAGTGAGCCTTCACATGTTCCATCATGCGAACACCTCTACATGACTTGAGTTTTTCCGTTCTGCGCTGCCCTTCAGGAGTAGGAGTGGGACAGGTGTGCGGCCACGTTAAATGATTTCAATGGGCCTGGTCCATGTGCGTATCCGGGCCTGACTCATCAATCGGTCTGGGCCGTCCTCAGGAAACGAAGTCTCTTCCAGGAAATGCATCTTGAAATCTAGACGACGGGCATCCCGAATAGATTGGCGCAACCGTGCGTGGCAGGCATTTCTCTACAGGGTAGCCCACTTGGCGCGAGATTCCCTGAACAGTTTGAAGTTGGCGTCATTATCACAGCCATGAGCATGCTGCCTTGCGAAAATCGGCGGTTGAATGTGCCTGAGATGCGTGGTGCACACGGTGCTCACCAGTAAGCATCTCGAGGCCCTCATCTGACCTTTGCTGCTAGGGTTGAGCAGGGCCAGCGGCGCGCGGGCATGGCACGGCACGTCAAAGCGAGGCGGGCCTGTGTACGACTCCGCGAGGGACAGGGCGGCAGGGGATCTCCGCAGAATCCACAAGAAGGGTTCACGCGCATCGCGGGAGTTTCGAGTCCAGATTTGTGGGCAAGTTATACGCAGTTCAGGTGCAGTTCAAGGGCAGTTCAAGAAGTTGAAGCCGCAGTCCAGCATCTCTGCAGTGCTTGGAGAGGTGAACATGCAGGCCCGCGAATACTGTGGGTCCGTTGGCATCAAGCACAAGCCCATCATTCTGTCCCACCACATGATGCAGCGGTCTAAGCCATGCTTGACTAGCAATGTTGAGATAAGAGAAGAAGGTGAGGAGCTGAATTGCCAACAGTTTTCCTACGTTTTCCTATAGTGTCCAAGAACGGCGACCTGATTTTGAGGATGGGTTTGAAGGCCGGGCAGGCGAAGATGTCCAAGAGTGACCCCGACTCCGCGGTATTCATGGAGGAGCCCACGTCAACCCATTGACTGCAAAGTAGTATGCGCGACCGTTTGTTTTAACAATTTGTTGCAAGATATGGCGAGCGTCGTTTGCGTTGCCAATCTTGCGATTTTGTTTATTTTGATAGGGTTGACAGGACACTCCGGAGGATGTTCGCCGCAAAATCACCAATGCAGCTTGCCCACGTGCCTTGCTTGTCATCCTGTTGGTGTCACAACCATGAAAAGTGCTGGAGCAATTACTTTTCGTGAGTCTTGTGGGTTGCCTGTTGTCTTGCGCGGCCTTTATGGCGACCTCAGCCATGAGTCAAAGGTGAGAAGGAGAAGAAAACATCCAAACAGAACGAGCTCTCGGGCGAGACCGTCGGGGACGAGTGGGTGTTGAACAACCCAGTGATCGATTACATAAGTGCTTCGACTGCACTGTAAGCTATATTAGCTATATATGATACTATATATGCGTCAATGTCTGTGCACTCGCGATCGGCATTTGAAGAGCAGCACAGGATACTTGGTTCTGGCTCCTCGTCTGCCTTGAGAAGAGCCGGCGCTCTCTATTGTCGCTCAATCGGTTGAGTGTGCCTGAGGAGAATGCGAAAGGTCGGGGAACCATTGTGGTTGACGGACGCACCTATGATGAGGCGTGCGGCTGCACCAGTGTTGAACCCCCTCACCCGAAGGTGCTCCAGAGCAAGGCTCATGACGGTTCATTGCCATGTTTCCGCGATGCTCGAAGGCCGACAGCTTGGAGAGTGACTTTGTCGCAGGGCAGATCTCGGAAAAAGGCCTCAAAGAAGCCTGCATTGAAAAGCTGTGCCTTTGCTGCGTTAGCCAATCCCCCAGCAGGGCACCACCACAGGATCAGAACACAACTTCTTGGCTTTGGAGCGCAGCTACGCCTTGCCTTGCCCCAATCTGCGAAAAAGCTGAGGAACGCCATCATGGAAGGATGCCGGCAGCATTTTGCTCAGGATTGCCTACGCCGGTGTGCAAGTTGTTGTTGCAAGTTGTTCTTGCAAGGTGTTTTTGCAAGGTGTTCCCTTATGTAAAGAGCGTTTGAGAAGTTTTCAAAGAGGACAAGGAGGCTTCGAATGCACCTGCGTACAACCAAAAGAGACGGCGGGTGGCGCACGACACGAGATCCGAAACGAGGTGTGTGTGTGTGTGTGTGTGTGTGCGTGTGCGTGTCCCTCTCTCCCATTCTCTCGCTCGCTCTCTCTCTCGCTCTCTCTCTCTTTCTCTTTCTCTCTCTCTCTTTCTGTCTCTCTCTCTCTCTCTCATTCCGAGGATGGTGCACCCCACGTGCCTCACTCATCCTCGTGACCGTCAGCACTTTTGAGACGCGAACAACAAACGAGGCACTAAAAGTGACGATAGTCGCGAGCATGCCATAAACGCTGAACTCCGCAGCGAAATCCTTTCGGACGCCTTGGGACGCTTTCGAAGCCTTTCGAGCGCTTTGTGGGCGCGATGCCCGGACCAACCCCTGGAACCTCACCTCTTAACATGGGCACCTTCTGCTGCGCATTCGGGATTCTCAAGAAGAAAGTAGGCGCGCACTTGAAAGCGCAGGCATTCCGGTCCACAAGGGAACGGGCAGGGTCAAGAAAACATCACGTTAAGCGTCGAGCAAACATCACGTGAAGACTTGAGTGCGCATCCATCCCCAGTTGAGCTTACCCTCCAGACTGTTCGCTGTGCATTTCGGGGCGCCCGCAAAATGCATTTGCTGTGTTTGTAGGGCCCTCGCAAAGCGCGTCGAGTGTGTGATGCTTTCTACCTGGGGCGGGGGCTGCCCGCGATGCATTTTCCAGCCGCTGCAAAATGCACGGGACCGCCCCGGGGACGCCAGACGTAAGGCAGTGCCACCTCCAGAGGTTTGTCGTCGCCGGACGTAAGGCAGTGCCACCTCCGGAGGTTTGTCGTGCATTTTCCAGACGCCGTAAAATGCATCGGGCGCTGCCCGAACTGTTACGGGAAGAAAAGCCTTAAAAAGGACGTATCAACAGTAGTGTTTCCGATCAATTGAATTTTCAATTGATTGTTTACATAGCAGACAACTGTAAATTGAAATTTTCAGGAGAAGTAGAAGTCTTAATAGAACAGTTGTAAAAACGAATACGCTAATTGAAATTTCAATTGATTGTTTACATAGAGGGCAACTTCAAAGTTTTAAGCGAAAAAAATTATCGCGGGGTCTATGATGTGATTAATGTTTATTGTTTTTTTAGAGCCCTAAGGAGTACGAGCAACTGTCTAAACAGCATTAAACTCCAAGCCCCTAAATAGCCTCCAAAAACCGAACCCCTTTGACAAATTCATGTTTTTGAACAAAAAACTAAGGAACTCATACTGACAAGGTGTCAGACCCGAGGCTTGAAGGGAAGAGCACAGACGGAAAGAACACAAACGGATAGAACATCAAGGGAAGATCAGGAACAGGTCAGAGGCGTCGTGATTCAGCACGAATCTTTCTTTTGCCTTCGACAACAGCTATCCAAATCTTCGCCACACATAACACCATACTGCAGACTGCTTTAGAACCCGCTCCTGCCCGCTAACCACAAGCAAAATGAATCTACCTAGAACATGAGCAAACTCTCCTGCATGCACAAAGCTGTCTGAACACCGCACCTGCCGCAATATACAGTGACGTGGAAGAAGGCAAAGACGTCCGGGCAATGCTTCACAGGCAGATCATGTCTCACTGACTGACCCCTTGATGTTTTTGCCCTGCAAAACCCATCACAACACAACGCCCGTCCTTCACAGATATTCCTTTGTCGAAGAAAAACAGAAAACATCTACGAAAAACTAGGCCTTGAACATACAGAGTCCTTCCGCCACAACCGAAGCAAATTTGGATTTACCGGGACAAGCAACGGCAGCACTAATACATACATATATATATATACACATGTATATTCCAAAATTGCAAGTAATGCATAGTACACCCCCCTCCCCCCCCTGCCATCCTCTGAAGCACCAACATCACCATCGATGCTAATTGCTATGCCTACAATGTAAGCAGACCTGTCAGTGCACACTTCCTTACGGCTAATCCATGCCGAGCCCAGCACCTACAGATAGCGCCAACACGACGTGCCAGAGTAAACCCAGCGCGAAGCTCACCCTAAACCCTAAACCCTAAACCCCAAACCCGAAACCCGAAACCCTAAACCCTAAACCCGAAACCCTAAACCCTAAACCCTAAACCGTATAATATAAGGAAATCAACCCCAGCAATTGCCCTGAAATTATATTCCCCAGACCGACCAGAACCAAAGAACACGGACAAGAGGAACCAAGGAGGGGAATCAGGGGGAACAGGATCCACACCTTAGGGACAAACCCCACACACCCAGGTTCAACTTTTTGAGGCCTTAGCTTGCTATTTCTCGCCATCCTTGAGCCAAAATTAATGCGGGACATTGCTTAACCACCTATTCACTACAACTTGAAATACCAACAACATCTCCGCACTCCCCCTGTCCCAGACTTTTCTGGGACACCGTTTGGAGATGAACTAGTTTGGCCAAAAACTGCTTTTTAGCAGCAGCCATACTTCGTTTCACGTCCGACGGACGGACCGTAGCCATTGGCTTGCAAATTATGGTTTAACGTCATCCAGCTCTTTGTGCCGCTTTGGCATTCTACACCTCATTGGGCGTTTCCTGTCCACCATTGAGGATATCCCAACCCGTAAGGAGGTGCTGGGATGCAGATGGAGAAGTTGCCATGGAGTCGAAGGCGCAGGCTATCCCGAATTTCTTTTCACCGAAAGCTGTGAACTTCTGAAGTCATGCTGCTTCTATGGTCATGGTTTATGCGAAAGCTGTCATGACCTCTCGCGCTTGAACCTTTGGTGTGCCCTCGGAGGTCGGCTGGTGAATGTCAAAATTCCCTTCAGCACTCCTCCTTGGCCTTTTCGTTCAACTGTTCTATTAAGACTTCTACTTCCCCTGTAAAATTTCAATTTACGGTTGTCTTCTATGTAAACAATCAATTGAAAATAAAATTGATCGGAAGCAGGCCCGAAATGCACAGCGAACAGTCTGGAGGGTAAGCTCAACATCCCAGGGTGCAGATGGGACAGAGAACTTTTTAGAACCCCCGATGATGCAGACTCGAGTCTTAACGTGATGTTTACTCGACCCGCCTACCCGAACCACAGAATGACAAACATGTGCAATTGCATGTGGCTGCCGTGGTTTCATCGCTTCTCGTGGTCCCCCCCTTGGTGTTTTCTTGAGGTGCGGCCGACACCCCTCCGCAGCTTGCGCGTCCTCCAGGTCAGGCCATGTCACCTTTCCGTCCCTAGCGCGCAAAGTGTTCCAAATATTTTTGGCACGCCATGACAGTGGCACAGCCATGGCATGTTTTGAAAGGGCATCGACTCTGAACACGTGGCAAAGAGCAAAAGAGAGAGCAAAAGAGCAAAAACGCGAGACCTCTCAGAGAGGAAGGGATGTGCCGCTCCCTGGGCGTGGTCTTTGCCCCACGGCCGGGGCCAGACTTCGTCGTCACAGCGGAGGCGGCGCTGGCGGCTGTCCGGAGTTTGGTGCGCGCCAAGAACGCGAGGACACGGGCATTCCAAAAAGAGAGGCTCTCTCTCTTTCTTCTAGCTCTCTTCTTTCTTATCACTCATTTTTCTTTCCTCTCTTCCCCATACGAAGGGCTCTCGCGTCATGCCAATGTGTTCTTCTGCGCCTCTTTCACCCCCTGCCAGGCACGACAAGCTGGTGCTCTGGTGCGAGGACTGGTCTGCGATCGCTTTGGATCAGATGAATGGCGACCTCAAGGTGGAGAACAGAAAAGAGGGAGAGAGAGTGAGAGTCGTCCTCAATCTAGATCCCTCTAGAAGAAGAATACGAAGAAGAAGAAGGAGAAGGAGGAGAAGAAGAAGAGAGACGGAGATGTAGTAATAGTCCTTGACGGTCACCAGATCAGAGGCCATTGGCGCCTACTATGGCATCCTGGCAGAGGCGGTGAAAGCCCTAGCAAAGGCTGCGCACATCGACTTTGAGGCGCGGTGAGGGGAGCCTCCAAAAGACTCTCGTCTCGGACGTGTCTCCTTGCCCGTACGCGCCTTTTGTGCAGGTGAGAGTGCAGTCTGCAGAGATCCTCCGTGACCCGAACATGTACTGGAGCCTCCGAAATTGTGAAATGCAAGTATCAATGAGACACCACTTACAACAACGACAATGAATCCTCATCAACAGCATCATCAGCAGCATCAGAAGCGTATGGTTACAAAGAGTGCTAAGAGGTGCTCGGGCTACTTGGGCGAAGCGCCTAGCAGCCTCGTGGGCAGTCCAATCCTTGAGGATCAGCGTCATCGATGCTGGGCGGCGGAAGCGCGTCCGAGCCTCCGGCGAGGAGCCCGTGATCGGCCTCGAGGAGGCAAAAGGGGTGGCAGCATGTATGTGGCAGTGCCTCTATGGCCGTGCCAGTGTGTAGATGCTGAACCAGATGCTGGACCAGATGCTGGCACACCTTCTGCCAGCATCTGGAAGAAGATCGAGTGATCTCGAGCATGTGGAAGGATTTCTGTTTTTGGCGGGGTGCCTCTCAGCCTCTCCAAAGGTGGCCGAGCACCTTCCCGAGGGCGAAACTCTTGCAGAGAGTGGCCAAGTTGTCGCCACTCCGCGCTCATATGCTTTCATGGCTTTCACGCCTTCTCGACAGTCACCGTACTCGCCGTACTTGAGCAAGAGAGAAAGAGAGAAGCAGCTAAGGCCACGCTTATGCACGTGGCGGATGTGGTTGGACTCTGCCGTGGTGTGCCAAGCACCACCATTTATGCCGAAGAGCGCATGCAGAAGCGACACCAGTTGGCCAAGAGCTATGTCGAGGAGATGCGGGTACCCAACAGGAACAGGAAGAGTAATTACTTAGTGACGATAGTGACGATAGTGACGATAGTGACGATAGTGACGATAGTGACGATAGTGACGATAGTGACGAAGTTTTAGTAGGTCTCTGTTGTTGCTTTCTCATTGGCTGGCTGTCGCACATCGGATCGTCCCCGCTGCCCAATCGAGCTGTTGCCTTGGCCTTGCCGAGTGGTACCTGTGGGATCCTGTGATTCAGTGTGATCTCGCTTTCTCAGTTTTGCTTGTTTCAACTTGTTTCATGCAATCGAGATGCTTCAAAGAAAGGGAACCACGCAGGCCGTTCAGAACATTTGAGAAATAAATGCTTCTGCAATACTTCCCATGTGGAGGAGAGCTTCGGGGATTCCTCTGCGCATGCTGGCAAGGTGGAGGGCAGTTGTTCATGTGAGCAGCATGCTGCGACACGTTCAGTAAGCTTGCAAGGATGCTCACAAAAGGCGTCAGAGCTCTTGAGCGCAGAAACTTCCTGCAAACGTGCATCCTCTACTGCGCCTATCACGAACCGCGAATCTGGCAAGCCCTGCATGGTCTTTTATTGCTGCATGCGCGTAAGGGTTCATGGTGCTCGTGCTATGATGTTGTTTCGGAGCAGGTGGCCCGAACTTTGTTGAACTCAAGGCACAATTTTCTGTCTTGTGTGCGCGTGAGACCTGGAGGTGTGCGTCCCGGCCATCGACGTGGAGAAGGCACGGCTTCCCAGCCTATCTTTGATTCTCGGCGAAGGTGAGAGCATCTGGAATGGCTCCTTGGCATGCGCTCGTTTGATCGTGTTCTTGTTGGAGTTGCTTAATGGTGCTTGCGCGATGCCGCATGTTGTAGGAGCTGCAAAATCACCGAGGCAAGATGAAGAAAAGTTATTGCTTAGAAGGAGATGTGGAGAACAATCCCTTGATGGACCTGCTCGACCTGCTCCTGAAGTGCGAGTTGTTGGCGGGGTCGTGAGCACCATGTGGCAAATGCGCAAATGCGCAGGAACCTGGAACACGGTTGTTTGTGCTTTTGTGCTTGCCACAGGATACCGGCAAGCCTCTGCTGGAAGTTCGTCAGAAGGCAGAGCACGGTGGTGCCCTGACCCCAGCTTACTTCAGTGGCCAAGTAGAAGGCAGTCTATGCACATGTCCTGTTTGTAGGACAAAGACTACACCTCGTTGGCAGACGTCGAGACGGCTTTTGCCAGCAAGGTGGACAACTCTTCGTCGAGATTTGCTTAGATGGCAGAGCTCACCAGAGGCCTCCTTTCGAAATGAAATGAGAACATCTTTTCGGCTTTCGCGCAGGAGCTCCACCCTTCTGCCTTCAAGCCCGCTGTGCAGGAGACAGATGGAGAGACCCGAACAAAAACTGCTGTGAAAGGGCTGATGTAACTGTTTTAGAGTCTTAGAGGTTGTTTCTGTAGGTTGCTGCGGAGACTTCGCTCGGCCGAGAGGACCGTGCGAAGGCGGCGTTGGCTCCGTTGGTGCTGCTGCCCAAAGATGCGGCTTTCAAGCGGCTCGACCTCCAACTCGAGCTTTTTCCTATGTTTTTGATACAATATTAATATTGTCATATTAGTTTGTTCTGGAGATTGTGTTTTCTGTCTCTCTTTGTCTTCCTATCTTCACCTTTGCTGTAATGTTGTCTGCTGATGAGTGTGGCCCCCCCCCCCCCCCTCCCCCTCAACAAATGGACTCCGCTCTTTAGTGTGGCGTGGGAGGGGGGCAATTTGGGGGGGGGGGGGGTCTGGCTTTATATGATTTCATAAGGGATGAGTTTATATGAATTGAAAAAGGGATCCAAACCCAACAAGCCCGCAAATGAAATATAATTCCGGGGGAGCAAACTTTTTATATTATACGGCATTCGGGCAGCTGCTGGACTACCCCCTTTGAAATTTGATTGCCCGGCCTCGGTACAAAAGAATTTAATAAGGAAATCTTAGTTTTGATCGTTGGTCTCTCAGGCTCAGTTCAGAAGCGATTTCTAGGCCATTCAACAGCCTCGCCGAAATTTTGCATCGCCCGATTTTTTTTCACAATAATAGACCCCCTGAATGAGTTTTGTATATTTTTCACAATTCCGGGGCGGCACACTAATCAGGATACAACATTAATAGGCTGCGTGGGCTGCGTAGGCTGCGTAGGGTCGTGAATGTGCCGCAGGAAGCTGTGCACCGCCCTGGACGCCTTCCTGAAGGCACAAAGCAAGAAGGCCAAGAAGTGAAAAGGCCGAAAAGAGAATGAAAACAGGAAGAGGAGAGGAGAGAAGATGGAGGAAGGGAAGAATCTGGGAGTCTGCGGGAGAGCCAGCGCGGCTCTCCCCCCATAAGTGATCGATCTAAAGGTCGATGTTGCAAACAGTTTCGGCTCTCGCAGCTGGATAGGTTGTCTAGCGTTTAAGGTTTCTAGGGGTTTAGGCTGTACCGGCCAAGGAAGGCTCAGGCTTCAGGGCCCGGTGTGTTACTCTTCAGTGTCTAAATTGCAACTGGGGTTGAATTTAGGGAGGGCCAGAATCTAGGGGTTCTAATTTATAATGCATGGGGCATTTAAAAGAAGCGAAAGGTGGTCGAAACTTTGAGGTGTACAGCTTTAACTACATGTGTACAGTGTTTGAGCAGCCTTGAGCCTCATTGGTGGAGGAAAAGATTGACACCGCCAAACACCTAAATCCGGCACAGTCTTAAAACCAGCGCCTACAACCTAAAAAACGCAACTTTAGCTCGCGCTGCTTTTTTCTCAGGCGTCTAGGTTTTCCATGCATCTGTTCGCATGTGCTGTCTAGCTGCTTGCGGATTCCTTGACTTTGGCCAGCGCTGGCTCGAGAGAGTAAAGGGGGGTCGGAGAAGAGGCGCAAAGTCGCAAAAGTCGCAAACAAGTCGCGAAAGGGCCCCGTTTTGAGGGTTTTGAGGCGTCTACGGGAGGCCTTCTGGGCCAGGCTGCGGTGAGCAGCCAAGGCGCGACATACGAAGCCCACACCTGAGCAACCTTTCATTTTTGGGACCCCGTCTTTCATGTCAAGGCCATGATGCCGATGCCGCGGCCCAAGAGCACAGGGTAAATAGCTAAGCGGACCCGGACCTCGCAGCCTCTCTGCAGCGTCTCTGCAGCGTCTCTGCAGCGTCTCTTCTGCGTCTCTGCAGGCCGATGGTGGGTATGCCCATGCCGGGTACCCAAGCGTAGGACGGTGACAGAAAGACATCGTGCATCCTGTGACAGCAGCGCTAGCACTGGTAGCACCCGGAGGAGGAACACGAGGCACAGGCAAATCGACGTTGGGGTCAAATCTGGGAGCGGTTGCGCCCAGGCCGGCAGACGACAAACTCAAGGAGGCAGGGGTAGGCAGTCAGGTCGACAATGAACCTTTTTAAAGCCCAGATATTGCCCATCGTTAGTGTGTAGCCTGCGCGTTGATTGCACTGCGGTTCTAGGCGCAGAGAAAAAAGCCGCCGGGGCATAAGGACGACAAGGCCACGATTTGCATGAGGATTCGTTGTCCTACAAAGAACTTGCCAGCATGGAGAGTATGGAACAGCATTGCATTGAAGTATTGAACGCACTCTGCCCAGGTCACTACAGTCTTCGTGGGAGGCCTTCGTAAGAGCACAACCGAAGACAAAGTCATCGGCCACTTCTCCAAGTTCGGACAGGCACTGCAACCTTGCGGATCATATCCTAGCAATCGCCTAACATCCCTTTTGCCCATTTGCAGCGCAGGTGGACAACGTAGACATCAAGCGGCTTCCCGATGGAACTTCGCGAGGGTTCGCCTTCGTGAAGTTTGTAGACAGGGAATCCGTTGACAAGGCCCCTCCTCATTCACATGACAAATTCCCAGTCATCACGTTATATCACATTCCCCCCGGGTCGTCAAGGGTCGTCAACGCCTCAGCGCGCAGGTGATAGAAGCCAAGTCGAGCCATATGATCGACAACAAATGGGAGTAACTGACACGTTTGAAAGTCACTTCTCAAGTCCACTCAAGAGACTCAAGTGGTCCATGTAAGTCCGATCTGAGCTGTTGTGTTCGGCGATCATCAGGTTGCCGTTAGACCGCACGGAGGCTCTGCTTTTGCAGCTGTGCCATCCTCACGTGTCAGAATGATGGGGTCCATGCGGTGCTGTCGAACGTAGGCTGTGCTTCTACCAAGGCACAAAACGCAGAAAGAAGTAAGCAGGCACCACTTGGGCCTCATCCATGCGACGTTTTGGCCATACTGTGCAACCATGCAAGCTTTCAGTGACAGGCGGAGGAGATCCGCAAGAAGGAGAAGCACGAGGATGACCTCCAACAGGAGGCCACGCAAAATGTGAGGGACTCCGGGGACCCCCTAAACTCTGAGGTATCAGCATTGGTATCACCAAATATCCACAGAGGACTACGAGGAGAAGTGGTCTGAGCGCTACTTGCAGCAGGCCGCCTCCATGCAGAAGGCCGCATGAGTCGGAGAGATGTCGTTGGGAGAGTCGGGGGTGGGGGAGTTCGGGGGCGATGCCGTTTGTGGGGATGAAAGTACTTGTGAGGATGAGGGCGACGCAGACGCCAAGGAAGGCTGGGCCCGAGCTGCTCGCGCAGCTCTCCGCTTCTCTGCGTACTCTTTATAAGAGATCTCAAGAGCTCAACCAATGCACAAAAACGCGTGCGCCGCTTCTCCTTAAAACATCTCCTGTGTGACAGGAGGGGACATGATGAACCCCATGATGGCGATGATGGGGATGATGAACCCGATGTCTTCGGCCTAGTAAAGCACGGAGGGGTACATACAATTGTGGTTGGCACACTGTTGGAATCTGCTGCGCACTGTTGGAACTGTTGGAGGATGATGGGCATGATGAACCCGATGATGATGCGGCCGCCCATGCCGCTCGGCTTTCTAGTCAATCGTGAATTGTGGTCAACGCATGTCAAAATCTATTGTGCATGATTGTACGCTCTCAGGATGATGGGCTGCGGTTGCCCAGGTCGGCGGTCGTGCAGACGACTCTGTGGTGATGCTTGCAGAGAAGTATAGATTTTGTAGATCACCTGAAAGGCATGATGGGCTGTGGCGCGAGACTCGGGGGCCGTTTCGCGGTCTTTTTGGGGCGCATTGGGATTTGAATGCAGAGTGTGAAGCTCGCGAGGACTGCCCGGCATGGGTGGTGCCGCTGGGACCGCCGGTGCCGCCCCTGCTCCGGGCGCGCCTGGCGCTGCCGGCGAGGCGACGAGAGCGACGCGAGCGATGCGAGCGATGAGAGCGACGAGAGCGACGAGATCGACTCACAAGCTAGATCCTCACAGAGTTGTGGTTTCCGTTCAGGCCGCGATGCCAGCCCAGAGCAGCCAGCCGGCCGAGGAATCCAAAAGATGTTCTTGAGGATGCCCAAACATGTGTAAAGAAAAGACAAAGAAATACCCAACAAGATAGGAACAGAGGGACATCATTCGCGAGCTCATTTCTGTCACACTGTGTTCACACGCTATTTAGCGCCCGTTTCGTTCACGTTGTTCACACCCCTATAATATTCATGCATGAACTAAAAATAATATTGGCGTGTTCACTCCGCCATATTGGCGTGTTCACTCCGTTCTCTTCACTCATAACTCACCCAAGTGCTCCTGTAATGTTATGAAGGGTTACATGACGAGGAGAGAACGCAAACTCCCATTTCTCCCTGTAAAACCTTACTGGATGGGCTTTTTCACCCAAGTTCTAATAATCTTTTTGCTGTCGCTCAATTTCTCTTATTGGTTCGCTAATGACTGCAGTGAAAGAAAGAGCGACTTTAAGGATTCTATTGGGGATTTTGAAGTTTTTGTAATAGCGTGAGTGAAAGAAGATAATGAGTGAAGGAAGACGAAAGGCATGAATATTTTATAGAGAGAGAGGCCACAAACACAACTGAAGGCCAAAGCACATGGCCGAAGCACGGCCAATTGAAGCCGGGGGGTTCCGAATGTCGCCAGAGGCATTGCGCAAAAGTATCATTTCTATAGTATATGTATATATATATATATATAGATGGAGCATTTAGTTGCTTCGTTTAGTTCAAGTAGATGCTCACTCAAACCCCAAGCGCTACCAGCCGCCCAACGAACTTGCGTACCGAGCGCGAGTTTCCTCAAAGGCGGAGGCTCTAGCTGGAAGGGAAGGAGGAGGAAGGAGGAGGAGGAGGAGGGCGGGGGAGAGAGAGAGATATACAACCTCATCCCAATTCCCCCGAAGCCTGCAGCAACCTTTCCGAAACCTTCCCCCTATCCCCCCAGGAACTTACAAAGGAATCTGCCCTATTCGTTCTCACTCCCCCTCTTCGGTGGCTGTCAGGCTGGGTCGCTATGGTTCTCCCCGCCCCTCTCAGTTCGGGATGCTGTGGATGGTCTTGGAGGCCATGGTTGCGTCGGCGGCGTGGCATCTTCCCCCAGCTGCGCTGCATCATCTGCCGTGGTCACCCCGTTGACACCCTCTTCTTGGAGTTCCCCCGACTGCTGCTCTTGGCTCTCCTGCACTATGATGACCGTCTCGCCGAAGTGTGCGCTTGTCCATTCGTTCACGCTCACAGACACGGCAGCGCCAGACATCCCAGAGGCCAGCTATATGTCTGGACCATCCGCCAGCACCGCTGCGATGCCACAAACCCAGCCTAACCCCAAAACACCTCCAAGGCCATCCCCGATTGCCACGGGGACTAGCCAAGCAGCGCCGACACAACACCAGACACGGCCCCGGACAGCCCCACCACAGGGGACGACCACACAAGCAGAGCCGCCGGTTAAAGCCCCCCCGCCCCCCACACCACGGCCCACATCTTCGTCCGACAGTGACGAGGATGGACAATACCTACCACCAGGGGACGAAGAGCACACAGGGCTATGGCAACGCTCAATACCACGGCGGGACGGTCCGGCGGGCGAACAGCGCGCCAGCAGCAGCGGCAGCAGGCACCTGGAAACCGCGGCTCAGCACATTCGCAGCGCCATAGACATCCTGGACAACCCAGCACTGGACAACGGGCAAGCAGCCGCACACCTCCACGACACACTGGCCCTCCTCAGCCAGGAGAATGCACACCACCAAACCACATCACCTACCACCCCACAATCAAACACCACAGACCTAGCAGCAATAGTCGGAGGGCAACCCCCGCCACCCGAATCACACACGCCCAAAGACACCCACCTGGAACCAGAAGAGGAAGAACTCACACGGGAGGAGCAGGAATACCAATGGAGGGAACAAGAAGAGCAACTGGAGGAGGAGTGGTTGAACAGTGTCATAGAGGGGTACTATGCAGACAAAGAAGCAGAAGAAGCCCAAGCAAAGCAACAACACGCCATAGCAGAGCAGCAGCAGGAGAGGCAGCAAGGGGAAAGGAAAGGATGCGGCGAGGGCAAACGTGCAAAGCAAAGCAACAGGAGGAGCAACAACAGCAGCAGCAGCAGCAGCAGCAGCAGCAGCAGCAGCAGCACAGCAGCAGCACGGATAACCACAGCCGAGCTCAGCCGGAGCAGGAAGCAAGACAACCACACTCCAAGAGCAAGCGCCAACGCTGCGACAGTAACACAGCGGAGGAGGCGGTGCGCCTCTGCCACATGCTCGCAAGCCCGATTGCAGGGCAGCCAGCCCATACCGCGGAGGAACTCCAGCAAGATCTCAGCACGTTGCTGCAGCTGTCTCAGCGAGTTCAGCGAGAGCTCGCAACCACAGCAACACGTCCTCGAGGTGGAGGGGAACGACGCACAGAGGCAGTCAGTGCAAGCAAAGAGGCAATTGAGCTGCTCCATGACATGATGGCATGGAAACACCCCGACGTGGTGTTCCTCGGCGGGCTGTTCGAGCAACTGGCGGTGCAAGGAGAGGTTTGCCGCCAGGGCATGCGAGAAGAGAGCGGAGAAGAAGATGAAGATGAAGCAGAGGGGGAAAGGCAGCGCGGACGAAGGACCTCGCCGACACGGACGGATGCGCGACTAGTGCATCCAGCGGAAAGCGGGGGAAGTGAGCAGTGGGGGCGAGGCGGGCAAAGGACACCAGCGCCGCAGAGGGCCAGAAGCAGACTGTGGATATCCTGCCGTTCCTGGACGGGAAAACTGCGACGCTGGTCAGGGAAGCCATCCGCAGCATGGACGAATGGACAAGCGCACACTTCGGCGAGACGGTCATCATAGTGCAGGAGAGCCAAGAGCAGCAGTCGGGGGAACTCCAAGAAGAGGGTGTCAACGGGGTGACCACGGCAGATGATGCAGCGCAGCTGGGGGAAGATGCCACGCCGCCGACGCAACCATGGCCTCCAAGACCTTCCACAGCATCCCGAACTGAGAGGGGCGGGGAGAACCATAGTGACCCAGCCTGACAGCCACCGAAGAGGGGGAGTGAGAACTAATAAGGAGGTGACGGTCTTTCGAGTCCGTTCCCAAACTGTGAGTGCCTCAGGGCACCAAAGAGAATCTTGCATAGAATTGGATCAAGCCTTGATCGCATAAGGTTGCAGGTGTAAGAATGCAAGCAAGCAAGTGCTCAGTCCCGGCACATACCCAGATCCATCCATCGGAATATTCGCAGTCGTTCCGTTGGTCACCCTGCAGGACAAGCCGCCTTGATGCGGCTTCAGTACAGCCTGACACCGGTTTGGCCCCCTTGTTCGGTCTGTTGAGCAGACCGCTGGACCGGGTTTTCGGGCTCAGGAGCTTGCGGGTCTTCCACAGGCCCAACACGGGGTTCTCGCAAACACAGCGCCCGAAAGGATAACGTTAGAACCGGACCCTGAAGATCCTCACTGGTTGATGAGGGGAGGGTGCGCGCTGAGATGTTGGGGAACGGACGAGGATCCTAGTACTTTCCGGCCGGTTGTGGCCGAGGGCAAGCTGCCCGGCATCAGTTTGGGGTTACCCGTGTTTGGCCTGCCGAGGATTTCCTTTGTTTTTCCTGCAGGGTGTGTTGTTTTTCTCCTGTTGGTGCAAGCCCAGCCAGGAGAATGCCTAGCGGCAGGCGTTGTTTGTTAGGGACCATAACTTAGGCTGACGGACAGCCAGTGGCACCAGATTGCGGAGGTTAAAGGCTGTGGCTCGGAGCCCGAAAGCCGTCCCAACTGTGATGCCCAAATCAACCAAGCCCTCCCTGCGTGCAAGTGGTGTGGGTTCATCTGGAGCCGCTGGGGTCGAACCAGTGAGTAAGAGCGAGAAAGCTGGTTCCTCCTACCTGGTGAGTAAGTGCGAGAAAACCAGGTCAGCATACGGGGCAAACAGGAGCTCAGAGCTGCTGCGGCATGGGTTTCTGGGGCCTAAGTGAGTAAGAGCGAGAAAGCTTAGGCCTGCCCCGGAGGTTGGCGACTTTGCCAATCCACTTGTCTGCAGTTCGTACAGGCATAGCCCGTGTGTCGGTTCCAGACCTTCTGCCTTTTCTGAGAGAGCCGAATGGGTGAGTTTCTCCCCTGTACAGGCAGGGCTTATAGGGTAGGCAGTACAGACC